TTTAATGTTTGGTATGGTCATTTAGGACATATTAATAATGCGTCCTTTAAGAGAATGATGAATTTGGATCTTATTCCTAAATCTGACAAAAACATGCATGAAAACTATGAATTTTGTGTGCATCTAAATTACTTAGAAAACCTTTTAAATCTGTAACTAAAAAATCTACAATGTTAAAGTTAATATATTGCGATGTTTGTGACATTTAACTTTACGCTAAGAATGGTAAGAGATACTTTACTACTTTTATAGATGATTTTTCTCAATATTGTAATGTCTTTCCAATTCGAACAAAAGATGAAGCTTGGGTTAGAAAAAAAAATCACAATTCTTTATTTATAGAAGGGAGGAGAATATGATTCTATAGAGTTTTCAAACTTTTGTAATAAGAATAGAATTATTCATCAGGTATACCCCTTACACACTTCAATCAAACAATGTGTCAAAGAGGAAAAATCGAACTTTATTGGATATGGTAAACTGTATGCTCTAAAAAAACTTATAGAATAAAGCACTCTTATCTACATGTCACATTAAAAATAGAGTTCCTTAAAAGAAATTAAATAAAACTCCACATGAATTATGGAAAGGAAAAAAACTCAATTTAAATGATTTAAGAATGTGGGGGTGCTTGGCAAAAGTAAAAGTTTTGGAAGTTAAAAGGAAGCAATTGGGACCTAAAACTATTGATGGAGTTCTTGTGGGTTATTCCTAAGATAGTGTCACATACAAGATTTTAGTAATAAAACCCAAAATTACTAATATAAGTGTCAACACTATCATAGAGTTGAGAGATGTTATATTTTTTGAGGATATTTCACTCTTGAAAATTAATGTAAATAAATCAATATCTTCTTAATGCACTCCAGTTTTGGTAGAGCCAGAAAATGAAGATATGATAAATAAGGAAAGTCTAAGAAGAAGCAAAAAAGAGCAAGAGTCGAGAAAAATTTTGAAAACGATTTTTATACTTATCTAATGGAAGGTGATCCTTGAACGTACAAGGAGGCCACATCATCTGTAAACTCTACTTTTTGGAAAGATGCCATAAATGCTGAAATAGAGTCTTTAATAAATAATTAAACATGGGTTTTGATCGAATTGTCTAAGGGGTGTAATTTATTGGCTGTAAGTGGATATTTAAAATGAAACTTCGATTAGATGGGTCCATAGAAAAATTCAAAGTAAAATTAGTTGCAAAAGGTTATTCTCAAAACAAAAAGTTTGATTATTTTGATACTTATTCTCTAGTAGTAAAAATGACGACAATCCAAGTACTTATAGCTTTGGCATCCATATATAAGTTGGAGATCCATCAAATGGATGTTAAAATTGCCTTTTTAAATGGCGAATTAGAAGAAGAAATATACATGAAACAACTGGAGGGATTTGTCATACCAAGTCAAGAGCATAAGTTTTGTAAACTAATGAAATCCTTATATGGATTAAAGCAAGCCCCAAAGTAATGGCATAAGAAATTTGATTAAGTCTTCTTGTCAAATGGATTTTTGATAAATGACTTAGATAAATGTGTTTATATTATAGTTACTAACTTTGGATGTGTCATATTATGTTTGTATGTCGATGACATTCTCATCTTCAATAGCAATATGAGTATTATTAAGGAGTCTAAATATTCATTGTCGAATAACTTTTGACATGATAGATTTAGGAAGGATAGATGTTATTTTGGGAGTTAGGATTTTACGAAGTCTTATGGATATTATAATTACACAATCACATTATATCCAGAACGTATTGAAGAGATTCAATAAATATGTTTGTAAACCCATGAATACACCTTATGATTCGAATGTGAGATTAACAAAAAATGTTGGAGAGCTTGTTTCTCAGTTGTTGTACTTTCAAATTATTGGTACACTCAAATATGTCTAAAATGCTATGAGACCTGATATAGCACAAGTGGTGGGAAGGTTAAGTAGAGTAATCTTGATATAAATCATTGGACAACATTTGAAAGGATATTGAGATTTCTAAAAGGTACCATATCATTGGGTATACACTAGTTAGGTTATTTCGCTATACTCGAAGGCTATAACAATGCAAACTAGATCTTTAATTTAGATGAAAGCAAAGCTACAATAAGATATGTTTTTCACATTAAGTGGCGTTGTTGTTGCATGGAAATCCTCCAAGAAAGCATTTATTTCTTGGTCTTCTATAGAATTTAAGATGGTAACCTTAGATATGATGACAAAACAAGTATAATGACTTACACATTTATTAATGTATATACTGATTATGGAAAAATCAATTTCGACAATTTGTCTTCATTGTGATTATCAAGTGGCTAATTCGAAATGTAAACAAAAGAACTCAAATGAGTAAATATGGAGTAATCACTTTGGATTACATTCCTTCTTCAAAAAATATTATAGATCCATTAATGAAAGGATTAGCTAAAAAAGCAAGCCGTTGAATGTTCAAGAGAGATGGGACAAGAGCCCATTAATTAGAAATTATGACAGTGGTAACCCAACATTTCTAATTGGAGATCCCAAGACAAAGGTTCAATTAATGCAATAAAAAAAGTTGTTTAGTGAGTGAAGAAGTACCATTTTCTTTTAAAAAGAATTTTATAGTCCCACCATGATTTTTATGGTACTTAATATAGTGGTTAAGAGGAACACATGCACTAAATGAGTTTGTAGCAAATTATGTAGGATATGCTTCCGTTACACATGTCGTTGAAGAACTCACCTATTTGAGTGTGGTTGTGAGGTAGCACACTATGAGATTGGGTCTTTAGAGCACTCAATAAGCACAATAGAGTGCAAGACCGTTAAAGCGTGACTCCATTTAGAACTCAATAAAATCCTGTACGATGTGTATGATGAATTGAAGCTTAGGCTAAAAGATCCTAGTTCAAGATGATGTTTAAGACACAAGTTCACTACTATTCTTTCGAATGGATTTTCTCATACTAAGTGAGGTTCAAGTCCACCAGAGACCTTCACCGAATGCATTGTAAAAGACTACTTTTGTATTCCTTAAATTTCAAATTATGTGGGGGCTTGTTGGCATTTTATTTAAATTCTTATTTTATTTTTAGTGATTCAAAATTTGTATCTATTGGAAAGGTATGATTTTTTAATTGTAAAAAGGCATGTATCTATAGGACACATTTGTTCACTTTTGAATAAATATGTTTGAATGGAGAGGTATGTTGATGATGATTCACTATCTATAAATACCCAACCCTTTTTTTATGAAAATTTCATTCAAAGCATTCTATATTTCAAAAAACTCTATTTTCTTCATTTTAAAATTCGTTCAAGAGTAGTCGAGATATTTACAAGTTTGTTGGATTTTCTATTAGAGTGCACATTAGAATATCCTTGAGTGGTTTCATTGTATCTTAGAAGTAGGACGTCATTGATTACTATTTGCACCAAGGTAGCAATGAAAATCTACTCAGTAGTCAGCATTTTTTATAGCGTGCCTCGAACCGATTTTTACATTTAAAACTCTTTGTTATTTCTTTTGTTGTTAACTGTTAAATATTTATTATTTTTTCATGTGCTCTTCTTTATTTTTTTGAGCATAGATTCCAATAACTTACAATAAGATGATATTTAGATTAGTCTTTGTCAAAACTTTGATATTATATATCCTCGTTTGCTTCATGTTGTAAATAGAGACATCAAAAATAATGTTTTAAATGTTTGTCGTTCTTTAATTTTCATAAACTTTAATATAATTTTTTTATTTTAATGTATTTTATATTATAAATTAATGTTGACGTAATATTTGAAAAAGTTTCTGAATTATTTTAAAAAAATCTTTATTTTTCTATTACATTTAATCTAATTCCTATACTTTTATTTTAAACAAATAAGTTCTTATAATTAATAATTGATTAATTTTTATTAATTAAAATATCACTTATCATTTTATAATAACGTGAAACTAATATGACATTAATTTGATATTGACGTGAAAAATAAAAATATCATATAATTATATCATAATACCATGGTAACAAATCATGTCAAAACTATTTCCGTATTACCTCAAATTTCCTTATCCTATGTACATATATAAATATGATTTTCTTGCCCGGTTTCTGTGCATATACAAAAGCTTTATTATCTCCACCGTGAAAACAAATAAAAGCTCCTTACCTAATTAGCGGTTCGTTGCCATTGTCTAGGCTTATATAGCTCATCTATCATCCCATTGCGCTAGCCAGAGCCATACCATATCCTTCTACCAGTATGCTTCCTAGAAAGCGAGATCAATTTGGCATTTATATATATGATAAGAGTTAGAACAGCCACCTCACGTAGGACCTGCGCCTCCCTTGTCATCACTCACGATTCACAAACCCACACCACAAATAAAACCCTATTCCTTGGCATATTCTGCATGTTTGGTCGGAGAGAATGATTATTGTGTCTGTCAAGATCAGTGACCAAGTCCGACCCAATGTCCAAATCTGATTATATTTTTTATTATCAAATATCGTAATCTAATTTGGCCATGCACGTAACAGAAAATGTTACTTCTCTTTCATATCGCAAGCTCCCTAGCGGTGTGTTATGTATCAATCAATAAAACATCCATCCAAGTAGAAGTGGGTCTGAGTCGCAACTCGTGACATTAGACATGCTCCAATCATATACATTATAGATGTGGGAATTTGGGCTACTATCCCTTTCACTTACCAAATAACCCTTGGGCTAGGTCGACTAATGCATTTAGGGCCCAAATCATTTCAATGGCGTTATGGTTAAGGGCAAGGAAAGTAAGAAATCAGTTTCCTAAAGGCAATGGGTACTACCTGTTAGTGGTGGTGTATGAGTAGATAACTTGCTAGATTGATGAACTGCACAAGGTCTCAACAATTATATATGCAACTGATCACATCAATCTCATTCCTTGTGGTTTACAAATTTGATATACGTGTCGCTCCATTTATTTTATATATGGTCAAATTAAACCGAATATAAAAAAAGGGCTTGTATTATATTATACAGAAAAAGGTTTTTTTGACGGGAATTTGATAATATTGGATTTTTGATGTAAAAATTTCAATCGATAGTGATGAAATTTTCAATTTCTGACAGATTTCTGTGGTTAATCTCTTCAAGTTCAATGAAGAGGATCGAGCACAAAAGGCATCCAAAACATGGAAATGGAAATGGAAATGGAAATGCGCAAATTAATAATAAGAATCCTTAGAAGAAGTAAGAGGAGGAAGATCCCCCCAAGTCAAAACCATCTGGAGCGGTATCTGAAACCGATGGCATCCTGCTGAAAAGAGGGCTATGCACATATTCACTCGTGTCAAACCCAAAGAAGGAGCCACTCCCCGTCGACTCGAACTCATTATTTATCTGTCTGGTCGGATCGTCCTGCCACCCCATCACACCTGTTGACGAGTATTGATCACTCCACGTGCCCTGCCCTGTGCCATACCCCGAATTGGACGTCACACTCGAATCAGCAGAGAAAGAGCTAGGAAAAGGAGGGAGCTCAGACTTGGAGGAATAGGACCACCCATTGTTGTCAATGACAGGTTGGTCTTGATGACAAGAAGTGGAAGAGCCCCAGACATCTTCTTGGGGCATATCTGGGTGGCCACTTGAAAAATGGCATTGGGTGGTGGTGGAGTCTTGATTGAAATAGAGCTGGCCATTAGGGTGAGTCTGATCATCAGGATCAGAGGGAGTGACAAAAAGATGGGAGCGTTCATCCGGGGAGACAACGGAGGTGACAGAAGAGCCAGGAGGCATGTCAGAGTAGACAAAATTGGTGCGTGAGCGAGGGCCGCGCATGGAACGGGCAGCCCTGTCGTAGGCCAAGGCGGCTTCCTCTGCAGTGTCGAAAGTGCCTAGCCAGTGCCTCTCCTTGGTGCTCGGGTCTCTTATCTCGGCTGCGTATCTTCCCCAGGGTCTCTTCCTTACTCCTAGGAACCTCCCTCCGTTGGCGCTGCCTGCTGTTTCTTGGGATTGTGTTTGCTTCTTCTTGCTCTTGGATGTGGACGTGTTCATGGTTCAAGAAACAAAGAAAATACCCAATAGGCCGGCCACAGTATACCAAACTTAATTTGCAGGAGCAAATGAACACTGTCTGTTGTCTTTCTCTTGCGCTTGGTGCGTTGGTTTTGTTCCCTGGATGTTTCATTTCATGTGTGTGTACATATATATATATATATATATATATATATACACACACCATGGTGTCTGTTTAATCAGAGCTCCCCCAGTACCAGCACTATGCATTTGCCTTAAAACTTTTGCACAAATTAAAGTAACGGGACCAGTGACATGACTCTAAATTCGATGTATCTGAAGAAAACATAAAGCGAATTCAATACTCTTAAATCTTAAATTCTCTTAAAAGGATTTAAATAAATAATTAGTTGCTTTTCCACTAATAAATATATTCTTTCCAAAGGAAAAGGCCATCAACATTTTCATGTCGGAAATCAAGACAAAGAGAACTCAGAAAAAAAGATGAAATTGAGTTGCTCCCCAAAAGGACCTGAAAGAACCCATAAAACTCCAAGACTCTTCTAGTTAAAGAAATGGGTTTTGTGAGAAAAAGGGTCCACAAAAGCACAGAGGAGAAGAATTAAAAAACAGAGGGTTTGGCCTTAATGGCCATGATAAGCATGTTCTGTGACACACCCATGTTCACGATTATTCTCAAATCAAAGTTTCTTAACCCTGAATTAGCAGCTGAATTCCATAAATTAACATTGGTGGTTTCTGGATAATCATATACGGTCCAAAGTTCTTCCATGTGACCAGGTCCCCAATCATAAAATGAGAACTAATAAGAGTAACTTTAATTCCTACATGATTACTTAAACCATTTACGACCCGATTATTAATAGATTATATATACAAAGAATACTTATGTCCCGTGTTGTTGGTGTTTTTTTTTTTTAAAAAAATAAAAATAAATAATAAAAATATTAATCAAACAAACCTTAATTTGCTTCGTAAATTTTTAAGTATGTAGCAAAAATTCTACTCTTAATTATAAAATATGAACCATGAGGCTATCTCTGTTAAAAAAAAATCCCTTTTAGATGATCCCACATGCTAATTGCATCAATTCTGTTATAAGATAACCTTTGCAATAATAATTTCATGATGTTGAACCATATTCATTCCCCCTTCTAAAGCATATCTATATAGCCTTTTTACCCATTTTGTTTTAATTAATGATTCTAAATCTAATTAAAGTTTGGGAAGAGCGCCATGAAGAGAAAAAACATTTTTTTAAGAAGAAAAAATTGAATTAGATTCTATTTATACACAATATATATATATGTATATACAAGGAAAATAAATGTCATGATTAATGGACCATGAGAGAAATTATATATCGTCACTTGCAAAGATTATCGAGGTGCTTCATAAGAGGGATTTCTTTTATTAATCATGTTATTCTATGGTATTTATGTGTGTTTTTTTTTTTTTAAAAAAAAGGTTTGATTAAAAAAAATATAGACATCAATGCTGATGATCAGCCATGTGCATCCAATTTGAGGATGAAAATAAATTCAATGATAAGAGCCACATTCTTGGCTCTCTTGTCCAAACCCTCTTATAATTTGGAGCAATCTTTGACCTCAAAAGGGCAACCATTTTGGGCTGCATGTGAAGATCCACATAAGCTTTGCCTTTTCCCATTAGGCACTATGAACTTAACCATGGAATGCAAAAATGTCTTTGACTAAATGTCCCACGCCACAATCTTGACCTAAATTCACCAAACTTGATTGATTTAAAGAAATACAAATGTCTGAAATATTAGATAAAAGTAAAACGATAATTTTTAATGCATTAAATGAAGATATTATTTTAATATATTCTGAATGAGTGTGAGTTGATTATATTCAAGAATTATGATAAAGTTATAATGTCGTACTGATTCTGCAGTTAGATAGTTCATGGTAACATAGAGCCGACATTTTATGTATCATTATCGAACTTCTTCTAAAACTCACTATTCTCCTTTTAAAAAAAAGGTTGAAGGTCTTGATTAAGTATGTTTAGCTACTATAAGATGAAACAAAAATATGCTAAAATTGGGGAATGTTTTGTGTGTGTTTCTTTTTTTCATTAAAAAAACAAGACTCCAAAAACCTACAAAGACTTTAACTTGAGGGGAAATCAGAAAGCACGTTTTCTTCTTCGCTTTTAGCACAAGCAAACCGGTGAAAGAGAAAGTTCCTTTGGGATTTGGAGTTTCTGTTTTGGATTTATTTTACCATTTATGGGTGATTTTCTAGACTTTTGTCTTCTTCCATCGATGTGTTTGATTAGGAAGACTTCCATCCTTTCCTAGTCAATGATTCTCCTTAATTTCTACCTAGGGTGTTTTAGTAATTACATCTAGGCACGTCGTTTTATGATTTAACCTAGATCGGATTAAAACTTCACATCTTATTCGAATTCAATTAAAATCCAATACATAATACTCGAATCCGATTCAAATATCCTAATTTAAGCATGTTTATATACACGAACATGAAATTAATGCTAAAATTAATTCAACAAAGAGAGAATTTCTTAATTTTATCGATTCATAATGTATCTCATCTTTCAAAAAAAAAAAATTAATGCATTTCAATATCTTAATTTTAAACCCGTTATTAGTGTGATGAAGACAAAACTAGAAAAAAGAGGGTTGTAGCTACCAAGAAACAAAACCCTTAGAACATGAAAATAACTTTGAAATTGTGGGGTCTGTTAATCGGAAAACATAAAATTATCCTTTACTCCCATATCCCATGTGCAGGCCAAAGTGGGTAGCACCATTTGGGAGGAGAGATTGCACACCCTATTTCCATCAAATCATCCACCATTAATTATATATTTTGCCTTTAACATTTCAATTATACTCGTTACTGTTCCCTCCGAATTCTCTATCTTATCTTATCTTATTTTTTCTACAAGTTCGGCCGGCCTTCGCTCGGTACTGCCCACGTGTCAGTGTCACCGAATTGAAAAGATTAGCATAAAATTTAAAAGAGTTTACGAATTATTTTTATATTTTTATTTTGAATTAAATAAATTTTTATAATTAGTGATTAATTAATTATTGTTAGTTGAGATCTCACTTTCATTTTATGCTATATGGTGTTAATGTAACATGTTGACATGTCATAATAGATGATGATGTAACATGATTACATGATTCAACATGATTACATGATTCTAAAATTACTTTAACGTCAAATAAGCATAAAATGATAAATAATGTTTTGATTAAAGATAATTGATTAATTGTTAATAATAATAGTTTATTTGATTTAAAATAAAAATATAAAAATTTAATTAAATACAATAGAAAAATAAAAATTTATTTAATTTTTTAAATAATTTTTTTTTAAAAAAAGATTATGCCAAACAAGTTCATTAAGATTGAATTTTAATCATATGGCAGTGATCTTGCTTTAATGATGATCAACATCTTATCATACCATAAGGGAAATGGAAACCGAGAAAAATTGTTTTGCCCACTACCAAGGGGTGAATTTTTTTGATTAAAACTGAATTAATTACATTAATTGAATAATTTTGGTTAAAACAGTTTGATTAATTCAGGTTTTTGCAACTTAATTTGTAATTAAATTAATTAATTCAATTGGTTTGTTATTTTAAAATGTTTTTCAATTAACTGAATAAACCGATTTAGAATTATAAGCATATAAGTATATTTTTATTTATATTTGTTGGAATATTTTCATATTTATAATCATATTTGATGAAATAATTTTAATGTTAATAAGCTTATAATATTGTTGAGATTCCATAATTTAAATTTATTTACATTATCATTAACATAGATAAAAAATGAAACTATGAAATTGTACTTTAGTCCAAAAACTTTTAATTATTTCAACTGCCGATCAAATTAATCTATCTAATTCAATTAATTAATCAGTTAATAGATTAATGCTTGATTTCCAATTAGTTTAGTTAAATTTTAAACAATATTTGATTAATTCGGTTATAAAAATTGTTTTAACTGAATTAACCAATTTAATTATTATTTTTTTCTCACACACTTGCTCTGACTGTTGGTGCAGTGTCAAACCTCGGATTACTCAATCAGATAAGGGTTCAAACTTCCGAAGACGATGCTGGCTTGAAAGTTGAATGGACGACACGAGGTGTTGTGCGCACGTGTCGGACCACGCCTTTTTCCGGGAATCTGGTGCCTCTGTCTGCTCCGCTTTCCGTTCCAGTGGATCCATCAATGGGATCAAGTTGGAAATATGTCCTCTTTGTGCACAACAGCAGAAGCATCAAAGCAGGAGCTCTTTTCCACAATTTCCTCTTCCATGCCATTGCCGATGTGCTTCTGCTTAGTCAAAGATCACCTCGCTTTCCTGCTTGCTCTCTCTTCCAACCCCAAAAGCGTCTTGGATGATATGACTAGTAATTAAATATTGGGGTTGTTGCAATGATAAGGGTATTCATCAGTTCCAATTAAAACTTTTTGGACATTGCCTCGAACAAGATACTTGCTGTCCATTCTTTCTTTGTTATCATTGTTGGTTCGTGGTTGATAAACCGAAAAGTTTCTCAAGTTGCTTTATAGCAGGTTTTCTGCCTGATTAGTTTTGTTGTCTGGATATATAAATATAATAAGAATTTCTCTGTTAGTCTATAAATTTTTAATTATAAGTTAGATGTTCGTTATAATAATTCAACATAATATCAAAACAAATACTGCCACCATTGTTATTCTTTCTAGAATTCTTGTGACGTAATAAGTTCTTGATCTTTAAATGCGTTAATATTAAACTGATAGTAGTCTCATATTTATTAAATTAGAGGAATGGTAGGCGTATGAATACAACAATGACCTCTCTACTTGTAGTCAATTGATTTTAAATTAGATATTTCTTTTGAAAGTTCGATAATTATCAATTTGAAATCAGTTTTAAAAATGTAATTTGTTAACTGCTCAACCTGATGATCAGAGAATCCTTGGGTTGAACACGTTATGCAGACCCATTACAGGCCATGGAATGATGCTAGCCTGTGCCTGTGCCTGTTAGCCTTGAAAAGCCAACACGTTTTGGTTGTTTAGAGAACCAAGCCACAAACCGGAATTTCCTAAAATCAAAAGGGATGCCAAGTAATGGAAATGATTTTCACTAATTAATGACTAAACATTCTAAACCAGTACGGTGCTTCAGAAATTTGATCTGTTAAAAACCGGAAGAAGTCACAGACATAATGGAGTTATAGAAAGCCTAGTTGCCCTCTTAGTAAAAGAGGCAGAGGATGACTACTACTAAGGTCGATGTCTCATGTCAGTGGCAACCTTTTGAGAGGGATGTGCCAGGGTGAGCTTATAGCACTCAAGCCATGATGATGCTGGGCATTGGAAGGTTTTACATAGCAATTTGCAGCCATGACTTGACAGTCTGCCACAACATCAGATACTGGAATGGATGGGGGCTCAACTAGCTCCTCCTCCTCTTCCTCCTCCTCCAGCTTGAGTTCTTCATCTTCTGCCATAACTCTCAGAAACTCCTCCAGTGCCCTCCGCATCCAGTCGTATCGGCAGAGTCGAAAGGCCTCTTTTGCATTTAACTGTAGAGGCAAAGATATGTTTCAGAAGAATTGAAACTGTTTCAGCAGCATGGTTAATTTGCAAGTATGATTTAGCACGCATTACTGCAGCATGTACATCGGAAAGCACTGGAAACCTAGTAAATTAGTATTTGATTTCTAGATTTGGCAGTGGCATAACTCTGGTGTAAGTATGGTGTGGATTGTTTATGCAGTTGGCCTAACTTTTTCCCATACTAACCCAAATCCTATCTCGGTCTTTCTGCTCTGGCCAGATGTCAAGCTCCTCGGTCACCTCTAATGCAAACATGAACCCTCTGCAGCTTCCTTCCAGGGTGCAAAGGTCCTGCCTGCTCTTGCTTCTAAACTCCCATACTCCTAGAGGAATTTCCTGAGCAAGAAGAAATTCAGCCTATCAGAATTGTTTAGAAGTGTTGATAAAAAGGATCAAATACCATATATCTCACATTTAACAAATTGATATATATGAAACGGCAATTGTCAAAAAAGGCAGCTGTTGGGATAAATTAACAGAACCTACTCTTAATATTCCTCTAACTCCTGCTTCTTCTAAGGCTTCACGACGTGCTGCTTCTGCAACAGTCTCGTCATCCTCCCATCCACCCTGACAACAACAAAATGGTAGAGGAAACACTGAACAACTTTCCATTCCGAGGAATCTCAAATGTTACATGAGGTTTTGCCAAATAGGGTAAAGAAGGGATCAAGGGAAACACATGTACCTTTGGGAAGACTAAATCACTACGATTTGGTGAAGAGATCATGAGAACTTCTATCCGGCTTTCCCCGTCAACATCCTTTTCTTCCTCTGTCAGCCTGTAGGGAATACATCTGTTGTAGGGCCAACACAAGTAATAAGCAAATTTGCTTCTCATAATTAACTAAAGGATCACTTTCAAGATATGTTAGATATTGATTAGCTGAGACTCTACATGCAGATCAGTCTTCCTTGAAAAGTTTCAAGGTCAAATTAATTTTTCTTGATTCTCCAATTTCTGTTTGAAGCTACATGTGCATTTTTAGGTTGGTTCTTCACATAAGCCTCATGCCCCTTCAAAAGTTTAAAACTCTAACTTGTCCTTTAATTGTATGTATACATCTACATTTTGAATTCTTGATGCTCGAATTTCTATCTAAAATCTACATGTTCACATGTTGGTTGAATACCCCATTTAAGCTTCATCAGAAGATCAGAAAGGGAAGTTCAACTGGTCAATGCCAGCTTTGGAAATGCCATGAAGATCAAATCATTCCATTCAATATTCATCATCCTAGCAAAAGAAAAAGAAAATTACATTTTGAGAACATCAACATCATCCAACTTCAAAGTCAACAATGTTGAGAGAGGACATGATGAACATTGTTCAGGGTGCTAACTGCAAGCTAATTGTTGAAAATGGTGGGATCGGATGCTTGGATATTTCCGTTTCGATACAGAGCATTGTTTGAGGTTCAGCTATTTACCAAATGTTGCAGAACCTTAATCTGACCAATGACCATGGAACCAGAAGCCATTAGGTAAACCGATCTGTTTAACTAAAAACGTCCTAGACAACCCTCCTGAAATCCTAAATTACCATAAAGGTAGCAATTAGAATACTAATATTGTTTTACTAATGAATCAAATCAACACAAAAGGATTATCTGCAACCTCCATTACTGCACTCTGCCCTGAACCTAAAGGACACAGCAAAATCATTTAAATGGAAGACCTTTCCAACAAGAAAATCCCCCCTCCCCCTCTTCCTTCTCCCTTCTTCTTGAAGGAAAGGGTAAATCAATTAACAGAGTTAACTGCATACCATAATGAATTAACTTAGGAATTCAACGCATGGGACAAGATATAGCTTATGCAAAACCTTGAATTTTGTGAGGTTAAGTAATAAATTTAAAAGGACATATTCTGACACTAAAATAGGAGAATATCTTCTCCTTGTTCATCTAATCAAATGACACTTCTGAGAAATGTAAAGGAATTGACTAAGATAAATAGGATAAAGTCAAGCTTGGTACCTAGGCAGGCTGAATGTAATGCATGTCAAGCATGAAGAACAAGAATGACAAAACAGAAACAAGAGAACAGGAATTGAGAAGATGGAAGCAAAATTAAGGAGGGCTTACCCAGAAACAAGTCGAAAGTTATTCTCATCATACCGTTGGCGGTGTCTCCCTGTTCTTGCTAGGAAACCTGACATGATGATATTCTGCAAACGAACAGACATCATATTCATACCTAGAACTTCAAAGATATACAAATTAAATCCATCTACAACAAAGACTAAAAGGAAATGATATATCTGTCATGAACATAAAATTCTGAAACCGAATGCATGATTATCATCCTCAGTCCTCACCCTTTGGTACGGAGGCAGCAACCAATCAAACCCAAAGCCAAGAAAGAAGGAAGAAGCAGTAAGAAAGTTGAGAGCACCAAGAGGCAACGGTGGAGGTGGACTTTGAAGAAACAAAGGCAGCAGCAGCTTTCATAACCAGAAATGTCAAACGAGAAGCTGCAATCTATCTTTCAAACAATCATAATCCCACGATCAGAAGATTAAAAGCAAAAGAAAAAAAAAAAAAACCCAACACAAATCTTTCAATGCATGTGTATGTCATAAACATATATATCTATCTATGTCTAACTCTCTTTCTTTCTATCCTGTCGAACGAACCTTATCACTTTTGGCTCTGACAGAAACTACTTGTGACCAGGAAAAAAAAGGAAAAATGATTGAAACTGAATAAAACAGTTTGTTTCTTCTCTATCTTTTCACTACGCAAATAAACGAAGGAACAGAGAAAGGAAACAATGGAAGGGAGCCAGAGATTTCCGCGGGGCCAGTGCAACAGTATGCCATTTATAATTACTGTCAACCTCCCCAGGCCCAGGGTCGTTATCACTTTTCTGTGTATGTTTCGTTAATTATTGTTTATGATATTACATATAAGGATACGCTAATTAATAAATTAAGTTAAAAAGGCCAAACTTCACCTACATATTTTGTGATTTGATTTTTCCCTACGGTATCCAACACTTTCTTTGATTTTTTTTCTCCAATTAATATTCTGTTCCCATAAAAGTATTGAAATATTAATTTTATTAAATAAAATTATAAAAATATTTTTAATATAAATAAATAAGTTAATTTTGAATTGAAAATATTTTAATAATTTTACTTAAAAAAATTAACAACTTAATCTCTATAAAAACAAAAATTATCTACAAGATGCTGCTAATCGAAATAAAAGATATCCAATTGATATTGCAATTATTGATATGGAGGAAATGAAAGACAATGATATTAAATTCAATAAAAGGTCACACTTGAATATTTAAATTATTAATTAGTATATGATTTTTTTAAAGTAGAGTTCAATTTTTTTTAATTAAAAAAATATTACTAAAAACCCCATGGGAGGGCTTTACGCAATGTAAAATAAAGTCAACCTAAATCAATAAAATTGGGTGTATCTTAGCAGTTGGATCTTTCTTGATTTTCTCCCTCTTTTTATTTTTTGGCACCCCCCCCCACCCCTCTTTTTTTTTTTTTAATTATTCTGCCTTCCAAGAAAGTCTGCTTCACCAAAGTCATTATTATTATTATTAATGGTGTTATAAATACTTAATAATCTAATTGAATTCTAGGAGTAAATTTCAAGTCCAGATTCACCCCTTCACCGCTTTGTCTGCTTCTGTGTCTGTGTAAAGACAACTTCATGTACCAACAAAACCATTTGTTTCTATTTCTTGAAAATCATAAGTCAATGGAAGTGTGCTTTGCATTGTTACTCTTAACCTAATTATACAAGTTATACAAATAAATAAATAAAATAGTTCTGATTCCAAGTGCAGACTAGAGAATGAGATATATCTTATGGTAATGGTAACATAATCCTATTTATTTAACATATATTGGTACAATTACTATAATTACGTTGTAATTAACTCAATCGTAACTCTTAATTAAAGGATGCTTTAGGTTTACAATACTAAAACAAAGTAATTAAGGATGATAGTCAACAGAACACATGATGCACAAAGGCAACAGGAGGACTAATTTAATTAAAACTTTCCACAGCCGATGATGTGAAACAAAATATGAAAGGAAAAGCAAAGTCGCTTTGTACATACTTATCTCAAGAAGATGTCAAGAAAGAAAGAAAAAGATGAAGTCCATTTAGGCTTTGGAAAGTTCTCAAGTCTACATTTTCCGACCTGGCTACCCTTAATTTATGCCTAGACATGGACAAATCAAATCGGAAACTTAAGGCACAAGCTGCTTTAGAAGAATGCTTTTCCTCTTCCTTTTGGCTGTGTGAATATGCATATATAAACAAATTAGCCTGTTAAGAACTTGCATGTCTCAGTTAGAACAGAAGATCACTTAGCAATGAACGTTGCATGGGAACACCTCCTCCTTATATATATAAATGAATGGGATCTCCCTCTTTTTTTGACTTATAATTCATATATAATTAGTCTGACCCAGACTTCGATTCCAGCTGCTGCTTTCTGCCTTAGTCTTCCATTTTGTTATGGAAAATTCACATTAATATATATATATATATATGTATGTATGTATAATATATGATTTACTAGTAGGTCTGTGTATTCTTTTATCGAAATAACTTGCAGGCCTGAATTGAAGTAGGAAAAGGGGGAGACGGTGATCATCCTAGCAAATAATTCCAAGAGGAAGCTTACGGTCAAAGGTTAGTTACTTAATAATTTCATGCAATTAAAAAAATATTATTTTTAAGTTTTTTTAAATAAAGAAATAACAGGTCCATGCCAATATTAAATGTGACAATGACATGATGGGATCCCCACATGCATACCGACATAAATGTCTGACGCATTATGCATTACATGTATGCCACATGCTTATAATAATCCCTCCACCAAATTGGGCCGGTCATTATTAGGTGAAAATGAAAAAATTAAATTGAATTGATTGAACAGATTAAATTAATGTTTTAAAAATAAATAGAATAGGTCATGAATTGCTTTATTCAAAATGAATTAAGGTATATTTTAGAGAGATAAAACCTTGATGATTTACCAGTAGGTCTATGAATTAAACTTTGTATGTCGTCGGATTTAAATGTTTAAATGAAAATTATTATTTTAAAAGTAATTAAATTATCTAAAATTAGTTTGAGTTTACTAAGAAGGTTTAAACCTGTAAATAGGGTTCTTGTGATAAGAAGAGGAAGCGTTGCAAACAAGTAAAGGATGTACCGGAAGTGACAAAGAGGAAGATAGAAACAGTTCCTAAAGCACTAAATGTTGTGTCAAGTGGAAGAGGATAAGAAAAGAATAAGTGTTTTAAGTGAGAATAGACTAAAGAGAAAAACCATGAGTTAGAGTCTAGTGGTTCTGAAAAGTTTCCTTTTTGAATTGTGAAGGCTCTATATATATAGTGTCAAAAATAACAGTTACAAAAAAAGGCTTTAATACACATAATGAATAATATCATTAAAGAGAATTTTAATGTTAGATAATCGTTACTGTAAGTTAATGTTAAGTAACGATTAAAAACTTATTATGTGACCCTTGAAGTAGTTATATTTAATAAGACTTATTCTCTAGTAAGAGCTAAAAAAAAGCTATACTTGAACAGATACAAGAGAAAAAGTTGTACATGAACAAGTACAAGAGAAAAGGCTATACGTGAACAAATATAAGGAAACAAGGAAAAAGTAAAAAATACTTGTACTTCAAGAAAAGGTTAAGAGAGACCTTTTAACTACTTCCATATTTGAGCCACCAAATCAAACTCTCTGAAATATTCCAATATGAAAATAACCCGTAAATCCTGCCACCTATTCCAAATTACTTTCACTGTCATTTGTGTGAAATTGTTATTTTGTACAAAATAGTTGTTTTACTTGTATTAATTGTTTCACATGAAGTAATGTTTTACTTATTCTAGTTGTTCTGCGTGAAGTAGTGCTTCAATGGTTATCTTCATTATTTTTTATATAATGTTATGTAATAAAATAATTTTTTAAAAAATAAGTATTAATCAAAATCGACTATCTACAAAACCAAATTGAAGATAAAAATTACAAAAAAAAAAAACCAAAATTTTGGTTTGGTTTGGTTTGGTTTGGTATGAGTTTTATCCTAAAACAAAACTAACCACACAATGCATAGTGGTACCCTCTAACCTCTAGGCCCCAAGAGTCTCATACCAAACCAATTTCAAATCATATGTATGCAATTGTAAGTCATATAGCAATTAAAAAGGAAGAAAAAAAATGATGGGAGCATGGGCCAATACTGGGTGTGGTGGGGGGAGCCTAGTTTGACAAATGCTATAAATAATTAATCTTGCAGATGGACTAAACCCATAAGTCTTGAGGAAAAAGCATTAATGGCGGAATCATCTCCCATGTGGGAAGCTTAATCAGTTTCTTCTTGTTCAGAAAACAAGTGTTGGCTCTGACAAAACTCACAATCTAAACTGAAAACCAGAAACTTAACTGCAAGGATTCCAACCCACATTTTGTTATTTAATTAAGATGTATTTCGATCTATAAAATGTTTAAAAGGATAATATTTTAAAAAGTTCTTGAATTATTTTAAAAAATTTAAATAAATTTTTATTTTTTTATTATGTTTAATAAAAATTTTATATTTTTAATTTAAACTAAATAGATCTAACAGTTGATAATTACGCGTTATTAATTAAAATATAACATGACATTTTAAGTTTACGAGTATATAGTCATGTTATCATGTTATTTCGCCATTCAATATTATATGTCAACACCATGTAACATAATATGACAAAAAGTTATTTTTAGTTATAAAGATTTATTTGGTTTAAAATAAAAAGAATAAAGATTTAATTTAATATAATAAAAAAATTAATAATGATTTATTTAAATTTTGTAAAATTGTTTCAAAGTTTTTTTTATGTAAAAATAATTTAAATATAAAAATTAATTTAATTAATAATGATTGTTGGGTTCTTTCTGTCCAATAATGTCTGTTCCAAATGCTTGAGAATCTTTTCTTGCTTACCAAACGTGGCTTAAATTTGGTCGGCAAGTCTCATTATCGTACTAACAAATGGCCGTTTCGCCGAAATAATTCTAATCACGTTTTTCTTTTCTTTTCTCTTTCGGTTTTCCAAGTCCGTTATGTCTTTTTATTTGAAAAGTAAAAAACGGCTTATTAGAAGATAATAAAATTCTAATTGTGAAATCGAGATATTAAAATTTTATTTTATTAAGTATTAAGGATTATCATATGATAAATGGACTTTTCAAAATTAATTATAAATAATATGTATAAAGATAATTATTTTTTAATTCAAATTTTCAATATATTTTTAAATAAAAACTGTTAATTTATTAATTGAAAAATCGAATGTCCCATAACCATTGTACCCTACTCATCACCAGTCCATTACCGGACCCGTGATCGAACATAGGAATCTGTAGCCCAATTTGACAGTGTATTCCCCATCCTTGCTATTGTACCACACTAATGGGTCTTCCAGTCTCCTTATACTTAATGGCAATGATAAAACAAGACTACTTTCATATGGAGGACAGTATTCTCTTATTTTTCCTTCATCCCAGGCCATTTGATCTTCAATTATATAGTCACTCACCTTGGTGGATTCTGCCACCCTTTTCATCACAAATCAGAATCGGACCAAAATTTTCCTCCCATCACCAACCCTCCAACAAGATCCTCCACTAATGAGGAATTGGCTTTTCTCTAAGACTGCACCACGAGTGATTGGGGTTAGACCCCATAGGTGCATTTGAAAAACTTGTTTTAGGGAAATAACGAGCTTTTTTGTAACTGTAACCTCCATCCTTGCTTATCAAACATTGCAAAATTAAATAGTTAAG